GGAGCAAAAACTGGGCCCCCAATCTTAGGGACCAGAGCTTGCGATGTCACTCTTTGGAGCAAAAATTGAACCCAAAATCTTAGGGACCAGGGCTTGCGATTTGACTCTTTGGAGCAAAAACTGGGCCCAAAATCTTAGGGACCAGGGCTTGCGATGTGACTCTTTGGAGCAAAAACTGGGCCCAAAATCTTAGGGACCAGGGCTTGCGATTGGACTCTTTGGAGCAAAAACTGGGCCCCAAATCTTAGGGACCAGGGCTTGCGATTTGACTCTTTGGAGCAAAAATTGAACCCAAAATCTTAGGGACCAGGGCTTGCGATGTCACTCTTTTGGGCAAGAAATGAGCCCAAAATCTTAGGGAGCAGGGCTTGCGATTTGAGCAAAAACTGTGCCCCAAATCTTAGGGACCAGGGCTTGCGATTTGACTCTTTGGAGCAAAAACTGGGCCCCAAAGCTTAGGGACCAGGGCTTGCGATGTCACTCTTTGGAGCAACAAACAAACTCAAAATCTTAGGGACCAGGGCTTGCGATGTCACTCTTTGGAGCAAAAATTGAACCAAAAATCTTAGGGACCAAAAATTGAACCCAAAATCTTAGGGACCAGGACTTGCGATGTCACTCTTTGGAGCAAAAACTGGGCCCCAAATCTTAGGGGCCAGGGCTTGCGATGTGACTCTTTGGAGCAAAAACTTGGCCCAAAATCTTAGGGACCAGGGCTTGCGATTGGACTCTTTGGAGCAAAAACTGGGCCCCAAATCTTAGGGACCAGGGCTTGCGATTTGACTCTTTGGAGCAAAAATTGAACCCAAAATCTTAGGGACCAGGGCTTGCGATTGATGTGTACCCAACTTTGGAGCAAAAAACTGGGGCCCCAAATCTTAGGGGGGGGTGCACCAGGGCTTGCGATGTCACTCTTGAGCCAAAAAATGAACCCAAAATCTTAGTGACCAGGGCTTGCGATTTGGCTCTTTGGAGGAAAACTTGGACCCACAATCTTAGGGACCAGGGCTTGCGATTTGGCCCTTTGGAGGAAAACTTGAACCCAAAATCTTAGGGACCAGGGCTTGCGATTTGGCCCTTTGGAGGAAAACTTGAACCCAAAATCTTAGGGACCAGGGCTTGCGATTTGGCTCTTTGGAGGAAAACTTGAACCCAAAATCTTAGGGACCAGGCTTGCGATTTGGCTGTTTGGAGGAAAACTTGAGCCGAAAATCTTAGGGACCAGGGCTTGCGATTTGGCTCTTTGGAGGAAAACTTGAACCCAAAATCTTAGGGACCAGGCCTTGCGATGGTCACTCTTTTCGAGCAAAAAGAAACCCAAAATCTTAAGACCCAGGGCTTGCGATGTCACTCTTTGGGAGGCAAAAATTTTCCGGACAAGACATGGTCCCAAATCTGAAGACCAGGTCTTGTTTGGAGCAAAAACGGGTCCAAATCTTAGGGCCCAGGGCTTTGACTCTTTGGAGCAAAAACTGGGCCCCAAATATTAGGGACCAGGGCTTGCGATGTTACTCTTTCAGGCAAGAAATGAACCCAAAATCTTAGGGACCAGGGCTTGCGATGTTTCTCTTTGGGGCAAGAAATGAGCTCAAAATCTTAGGGACCAGGGCTGGCGATGTCACTTTTTGGAGCAAAAACTGTGCCCTAGTATTGGGGGGAGGAGGGCTCGTGATTTAGTATTGGGAGGAGGCCCGGGCTCGTTAATTTGTTTTGGGGGGAGGCCCGGGCTCGTGATTTAGTATTGCGGGGAGGCCCGGGGCTCGTGATTTAGTATTGGGGGGAGGCCCAACCTCGTGATTTAGTATTGGGGAGAGGCCGGGCTCGTAATTTGGAGGCCCGGGCTCGTCATTTAGCCCAGGCTCGTGATTTAGTATTGGGGGGAGGCCCGGGCTCGTGGTTTAGTATTGGGGGGAGGAGGATTCCCCAGCCCCCACCCCCCATTTGGTATTAATTCAATTAATTCAATTAATTCCACCTCCCCTTTGGAAATAAATGAATTAATTGAATTAATTGAATTAATTCAATTAATTCAATTAATTCAATTAATTCAATTAATTCAGTTAATTCAATTAATTCAATTAATTCAATTAATTCAATTAATTCAATTAATTCAATTAATTCAATTAATTTCCAAAGGGGAGGTGGAATTAATTGAATTAATTGAATTAATTCAATTATTTCAATTAATTCAATTAATTCAAGTAATTCATTTATTTCCAAATGGGGGGGATTCCCCAGCCCCCACCCCCCCCCTTTGGAAATAAATGAATTAATTGAATTAATTGAATTAATTGAATTAATTCAATTAATTCAATTAACTCATTTATTTCCAAAGGGGAGGTGGAATTAATTTGAATTAATTGAATTAATTCAATTAATTCAATTAATTAATTTATTTCCAAATGGGGGGGATTCCCCAGCCCCCAC